ACTTGAATCTATTTTGGCCAAATCGTCCTAAAGCAGTTGTGACTTCAGCAGTGCACATTTTCGCACGACCGGCGCAACTGATCGACCTCCTCGTAGTTGCACGCGGCGGTGGAAACTGCATCGACTAATGCCCAGTCAGCTGATGATCCTGTCTCTTATTTTGCTGCTTCTTTTCTTAAGTACCTTGGCAGAATTGCTAGATATATTAGAAACACGTGGCAAGTGACAAACAGTTATTTGCCAATTGCGCAACTTTTTAGCTCACCTCATAAAAACTATAATATGCTTCGTGTAACAAATGCAATCATCCAAAAAAAATAACCTGATTAAATTCCAGCAAACGTTTGAAATTGACAAATATTCCTTGGGCAGTTTCCGGTCGTAGGTAGGCTTTAAAATCGCCAGTTGGCCCGATGACCGTTGGAAACATCAGGTTAAAAGCAACTGGTTCCGACAAATCATTGCCAGTGATTGGAGATTTTATATTGTACTGAAAAAAAAAAAAAAAACATCAAATTACTAGAAAAATGAGCATGCTAATAAAATTTATCTTTCGCTAAGGAAGAGTAACTAGTGAAACCCGAAACATATTAGCGGATTTATCCTCAAAAGTATAGCTTAACGGATTATGCCCAACCAGAAGAACACATATTCTTCATCCACTCCGTTTTCTTTCCGTGGATTTGCAGTTCATTTTTCACCAGACTGGCTGTAAGCTCCCCGAACAGACCTTGCAGTACATATGTAAATTCGCGACGAGCATAATGCCGTCTGCATTTCGACATTTCATCAGCGATATGAAATCCCTCTGTTATTTGAACTTCTGCAATGTCCTTTCAAGGCCGGTAAATGCTTCCAGGAAATGAGTGTCGCCCCACTGTCATGAAATCGTCAAAGGTGGTACTTGTGACAGAAAAGTCCTCTACAAAATGGATTTATGATGATGAATCGATTTCATAATTTGGAACATCTTTAAATACAGCACTCTGCTGCACAGAGCCGAAAACCTAGTTGAAGCTTGAATACTGCAAAATGATGGAGTTCTCATTCCTTGGCACTTTTCCTTCAAATACGTTAGTGCGAAAATGTGGTCGAAAAGTAGAAAGCAATCGGGCTTCCTCCTTAGTTTTTCATCAACATCCATCGGGCATGAATTAAATGCATAAAATCTTCTTCATATGTGACAAGAGGCATATCGGGCAATGACTGCAAAATTTCTACGGTCTCCTTTCATCGGTACCAGCACTCCTCCAGACTTCTTTTTCCCGATATCTCCTTTATTATGAGTATCTGCTAAACCGGTCGCTGAATGCCTTTTGAATTTTTTCTCTGCCAGCAGCTCTGATTCTGCCACGAAAGTTTTGCCAGGGTTTGTCACTGTGGCAAAAGTTTCGTGGAAGACTTGTCACTGTGGGCACTGCATTCCTCACCTCGCTGGGAGATACAGCTGACACAGAAAAACAGGAGATTAGATGAAAATTGTGTATTGCAACAATGGTCAAAATCAAGTTATCGCAGAAATTTTTACATCTGCTTTCGCGATCCCTCCCATCCACCCTCCTTCCCGTTTCAAAATACCTTTTTATTTCCATAGCACATTCCTCGAATTGAAAAATGCCTATCGATGTAAATATAACTCTCAATAAAAAATGATCTGAACGAAAAAATTTTCGGAATTTCATAAATAATGAGTAGAGTGCGCACCTTAGTGATCACTTCATGCATGTCAGCATCATTGAAACCCTCTAATTTTGCCAGAATATCCGTCAATTCATCTTTCATCGTCGCGCTTGTTTTTTTATCCTAAAAAAAGAACCACCATCGATAATAGTAAAATCTTTTAGGAATGCAACTTTTCATTATGCTGACTTCGAGCACAACTTCTCTGGATGATAGCTTTCGAAAGCGAAAGCAGAATTGCTTCTGCTTGTCTGAACGAGCACAGAAACGGGACAGGACATTTTATACAACCAACACTTCCAGCCTCTTCCCCCCCACCCCCTTCCCCCAAAAAAAAAATAAATGGCAACGCGCACCAGACTAGCCGGTACGATCATGCGTTCTGTGCAATTCAGCCCATCAGACGATTGCCTATTAATGATTTTCACTGCTTTGTACTTTAGTCTATGCAAAAATAGTTCAGACACTGGAAAATAGTTAAAAATTACACGCACCAGCGCATGAAAGCTGAATTCGAAACCTTGAAGGGTGAATATCTTTCCGTGATTCTCTAGTTAATAGTTTAGCCGGCAAAATTCTCACGAGGCCGTAGATGATAATCAACAGCGAGAGAACGCTGAATTTGAACGGGCAAGGTTGAGCGTGGGAAGGGGGTCATTACTCTAAAATCTCAGCCTCTTAGACTCCGTGGTTCCTGAGATATTGATTTACCCGTAAAAAACTTCCACGGGTCCGTACGAGTTACCCGCAGGTACGGGAAGGCTGAATTTAGATTTGCCGCGTCACCCGTTGGCGGGTAATACTATACCAAAATTCCAGCCGCCTAGCTTTCGTGGTTCCCGAGTTGAAAGTGCGGGACAAAATGTGGAACACCCACACAAACACACAGACAACCCCGTGACAATATGTGTTTTGTACTGCTGTTACACGGCACAAAACGCGTAAAAATAAAAACAATCAAACTTTTTGGAAAACTGATCAATATGCGACATGTTTTTTCATTAAAAAACTCGTATTTTTATGTCGAGAACGTGTGCTATGATTAAACTATAACTAACGAAAATATCAAAAATTTATTTACTTGGCATGCTTTTTCAGCAAAATTTTTGATCAAGTGATCGGCACGAAAACATTCACCAGTTTTCAAATCTTTTACCATCCAATCCGAGAAACGATCAACGTGCCCAGATGCTCTGCAAACAAATTTGCCGATAAATTTCACTCCGTCTGATGTAATGACGCCTTGTGATCGATCATCAAAAACACACGATAATTGCTACTGGGCAAAAAGACAGCCTGCTCTGCCGCCTATATCTCTTGAATATTGTTCTGCTGATGATACTGATAACAGAAAAAGATATCAATTTTGAAAGCATAAATGGGGCAATAAAGTGTATCAACAGAAGCGAAATATGAGAAAATTCTGTTCCGAAGACAGCTACACGGATTTCTGATTTTGAAAATTTAAATTATCTCCACTATTTCATGAGCTATCGAAGTA